CCCCGCAGCCTCCCCTGTGGCTCCGCCCCTGCGTGCGGTGCATTGTCGGTCGGGTGATTGTGTGCATTGGTGGTCTTTGTGTGTGGGCTCGTGTTCCAGACAGGAGCACAGCACTGTGCAGTTTACATATTTGACATATGTAATTTTTATGTTTTCATACGAGTGCTATAATGACCTTAAATCCATGCTGTGTTTTTCTTTACTGTGAACGGTTTTTTAAAGTAATTTGTCCAAGTCAACTTGTATTATTGGAAATTGATTTTATTTAACAATGATTCATGTTGCGCTTCGTTTGGGATGTTTTTCTCTCCTGTCGTGCGGTTGTTTTTGCCCTGATTTCTATTTGCTTTTGTCATTTTGGCGACCCAGGTGATTCTTGTAAGTGAGACTTGTCTCCTGGTTAAACAAAATAAACCTGAAACTCGCAGCAGAATGGACAAAGCTCAGTGCTGCTGCTCCTGCACATAACCTGTTGCCCTTAGCACCCCAGGTTGTGACTACAAGTCTCTATTTAGGGATAAATTGGCTCTGGGGATTTTTTTTTACTTTCTTTACGTGATCATGAAAAACAAAATCAGGCTTCAGTCCAGCATAGAGATGCTTCAGTTTGAGTGGCTGTCATTGAGCATTTCCCTTAAATGCCGACTGTTTCAACAGACGTCGCTCGCTACTCTTTGCTTGGAGCTCGCGTGGTGTCGCCAGCAGAGGAAGTCCTCCGCCACCCACTTAAGATCCACAGCAAGAAGCTTTTTGTGTTTAGTTCATTGTTCTCCCCCCCCCCCCACACACCTCCGATTAGCATGGTTGGCTACGTACGGTGCAAAATAAGTTTAAGTTCAAGATACAGAAGTGGTTTAAAATATCCCCCCCCCCCCGTGTGAGGGAAGGTGCTTGTGTCGTGAGGGCATGATCAAGTTAATTCAGTTAGCATTTAATTGTAGTCGTGATGCCATGATCAAGTTCATTCAGTTAGCATTTAATGTTTAGTCATAGCCTTAATCCGGTCGACGACGACCCGTGTAATTTTGGTCAAGTCTTTCTCTGTGGATTTCATTCCACATATTTTCTTAGTCTGGGCGACTAAAGTCCCACACCTCCGATTAGCACGGTTGGCTGCGTACGGTGCAAAATAAGTTCAACGTACATGCATATGAAACATTCAGTCAACTAAACGCAAGTAGATATTGGTGTCAGAGGCAGTCAATGTTTCGTCACCCAATATTGTCAGGTCAGCCAATCGGCAGACTCGTTGATTTTGTCTCATCATTCACACTTTCGTCTTTGGTGGGTAGTAGTAGTAGTCGTAGCCGTTATAGCCGTTATAGTTCTCATGCTTAATAAGGGTGCCACGGTGGCTAGAAGTTAACTACCTTACTTGGTATATAGTGCATGGGTTCGATCCAGACCCTGACACCTATATATTTCTGTATGTCGAGTTTGCATGTTCTCCCTGTGATCGCGTGGATTTTTATTTGGGTCCTCTGGTTTTTTCCCGCCAGATTTAGAAACATGCGTTTAGAGTCTTTGACTGCTATAAATGTCCACATGATAAGCCACTTCGTTGAGCTATCATGTTTTTTTCCCAGGTCGCTTCTGAAAAAGAGCCGTGTAGCTCAGTGGGCCTTACCTGGTCAAATAAAAAAAATGGTTTAGTTTAGACAGCGATCACCCAAAACAGACCATGGGACACATAACGACTCATAAACTCACAGTCGTCGTTGACTAAACTTTCTTGCCAAATGTTTTCGTCGCTGCTTTTACGAATTCAACGTGTTCTGCCGGAAAAGAGGCGCACTACCACAAGGAGGTGAGCAGTGGCTTTGTATCTGATCACTCTCGTGGAACTTCGGCAGGAGCTGACGCCTTCGCATGGATTGTGACAGGTTCATAATTAATGAGCGCTGTGCCTCTCGTTTGCTTCCTTTGGACACAACTTGGTGACTACAATGGTTCTAAAGGGATGATGATTCACGTCATGACATGACTCCGATAACAACACGGTTGGAATATAATTGGCAATGTGATAAAAATGACAACTTTAAAATAGTAGCGGTCATTTTTACTTCGGACATCGCCCATCTTGTGCTCAGGGTTTTGGCCGCGCGATATTGACCGAGGTCTGGGGCAGCAGTCAATTTCGGTGCACTATGGCAAAATCATCGCCATCCATCTCCGTCCTACCCGCCCGGCGCACCTTAACCCTAAACTATGAGCTGCAATGTCAATTAACTGGCAGGCAATTGTTTCGGCTGCTCTGCACCCTGTTTTAATATTCGATCATTTATCTGTGATGCCTGTCCCTCTATTCCTGCCCAATTCCAAATTCGAAAACTTTCCTGCTCTCCATTTGTCCATTTTACTTCTTTCACTTTGTGTTTTCATTAAAAAAAAAGTCCATAGCAAGGCATAGCCCTGCTCGAATGAGCATTGGGTGGTGGTTCGTGGTCTTAAGCCAGGAGTGGGAATTCCACGTTATTATGGCAGGGGATAATATAACTAAAGGACAACCACTCATCGGTAATCTTGAAGTGGTGCTCACTATTGTGAACCCTGTAGTGATGATGGATTGAGTTGTTCCCCAACCATGATTTAAACTCAGGAGTTGTGTGCCACAGGAACACTGAGACGTGATAATATTTCAACTGTATGGCCTCTTTTGTTTGCTGACACCCATACGTGTTGTATTTCCTTCATTACTTCTCATTTTATTCCTCGCATCCCGTTTCACATTATCATTTTTATATTTCATGAACAACAAAAAAAGTCTCAGCAGTGCTTTATTCACTGTTTGAAATGCGTAATGTTGACAAGGCACATCTCAGCCTGACCTGACCATGCGTCCAGCATACAATGTCCTAACGAAAAACATTACTCAATATTCACTCTAAGTTGCACAGTGATTCTTGGTGAATGCACAAAAACGATGTAACAGCTACAGTAGTAACAAGACACTTAGCATAAAACTATTAAAATATTCCACTGCATGGTTTTACGCACTCAGGGTACAACGTATGTATGTAGAACTTCTTTCGTACCGTACGTAGCCAAAGGAACACATACAACCAGTATATGTTTATATGGCACATATCTCATAGGTGGAAATGTTTCAAGCCAGAAATAAACGTGCCATTTTTTTTCACACGCGACTACTTAAATATCATAGTAAAGATCAAGAAGTCTTAATGGCCATTGACGTTTATACCCCGATATCTTGCCATCACTTATTTACTCATGCCAGACCTTATGACTGTTGCACAATCAACACCCCGAGCCTCAGGGTCTGCTTGCAAAGTACCCTGCCATCTTTCCCTTGGCTGTTGACCTCTGAGTGCCGTTCCAATGCGTCTTGTGGCGACCCCGCACTCCTCCACCCAGCACACGTGCCCTGCCCTTCATAACCTCCTCTTCCTGGTAGCGTTCGCAGCGATTCACCGCAACAATCTATTTTGGCTCCAAAGTTGTTGACCCTATCTGCTAAGAAATTTCTAGAATTCTGTGCCTACACTTACGCTAAGAAACACAGTGCTTTGTTCGAGTCAAAATCTGTGACCTCAATACAGACATCATTCCTGCTTCAAGCGGTCATCTCTTAGCACTAAAGTTAATATCTGTCTGTTTCTAAAGTTCTTGATATTGGACCTTCAGACAATCCATCCTGTTAACACAAGCACTGCAGTCATTAAAGTGCCTCCATGTTCAACCAAGCAATGGTGCAACACGAATCTCCACACAAGGACCTGAAGTAGTGGTGGAAATTACATATTATCATCGTGGAGGCTAATCTCTATATAATATGACCACTGTTGAGGTCCCCAATAGTGGTACTCGTTGGTTCTTTCAGTAAAGTCACGTCGATAGAAAAAAAAAGTGGAAAAAAAACACACTAATGCAGACTGTCGCCTGGTTATTAAGTTTGGTGAGTGTACTGGCAGTCTATAATGTAGACTGTAGCCTGGTTATTAAGTTTGGTGAGTGTACTGGCAGCCTACAATGTAGACTGCTACCTTGCCTGGTACACAGGAGGTCGTGGGTTCGATCTTGACCTTGACGCCTGTATATTTGGAGTTTGCGTGTCCTCCCCGTGGTCGCATGGATTTTCCCCCGGGTCCTCCGGTTTTTTCCATCCACATTATGAAATCATAATGCGTTTAGAGCATTTGGCTTTTATACATTTCCACGTGATAAATCACTTCGTTCGAGCTATAATTTGTGATAGCCAGGTCGTTTCTGAAAAAGAGTAGTAAAGCTCAGTGGGCCTTAACTGGTAAAATTTAAAAAAGTTAGTAAATAGTTTTTATTGACTCCAGTCAACCCCGAGCCAAGATTGAACATGAAAATGCCCCACCGTAAGTCGAGTGATACAACTAAACTGCCACCGGAGTAGATTATGATGATTATAAAGCTCGATTTAGCATATAAGCTTTCCACAGCCACGATGTAGTCAACTCCGGAAGCTGCCCGCGGCAGTGCATGGCGATTGCTTGAGAGAAGAATCGCTCAACGGAGAACCGCGCGCTGAAGACAATGGTCTCCGTTTCACACCGATATCTAAAAGAATAAAATCGCATTTTAATCCATCGGCCCATGGGTCTTTTTCGAGCAATATATATTTTTAAAGAAGATAATTAGCCAGCCCAGGCGTGCGTCATGCCCACCTCACCGACATTGGGCCTCAACGTAATCATAATGACTTAAAAATCGTAGTCCTTATGAATTATTGAACTCTAATGAAGTTTACATGATTACGCAAAAAATCTCTTTGATTTCAGGGTAAATGCTGTCTTTTGACAGACCATGGGAAAATGCCTGAGAATATAACGTACGAATTATATTCCCAAATTGTCATAATTAGTTAGCGTTCACGCACCTCCGATAAGCACATGCAGTTGGGCTACGTGCGGTGCGAAAGAAGTTCAACATACATACACGCGTACGTACAACTACAGCCACGAGGTCCCGAGCTACCCACCCCACCACCCACCCCACCCCCGGGAACCCACCTGACACTCTTGTGCCTCCGCACGTAGAGGTTGTGGAAGTTGTTGGAGTTCTCGGGCAGCAGCTGCTGCTGTTGCTGCCCGCAGAAGGGGCCCTTGAGGCGTTGGATGATCTCTGCCTTCATCTCCAGAGCGATGTGCGCCGGCAGCACGGACAGCAGCAGCCGCTCCTGTGTGTGTGCAGCGATAGTTCAATGCTAACGATGTGCCGTTTCATCGGGTGACTTTGCGTTGTGCATGTACGTACGTTGAAATTCTTTCGCGCCGTATGTAGCCAACCGTGCTAATCGGAGGTGCGGGGGGGAAGGAGAACGAACTAAACACAAATAAAAACAGTTCTGAAGAAATGAGTGTCAATCTAAATTTATAAGTGCATAGCTCCAATGGTTTCCTAATATATATCTATCGGAAGGAAGAGCGTTCCAGATTGACGCTGAAGCGCATCTGAAAACCGCAAAAGTTATTGCCGCTATCTTGGCGTGGTCTGGGACCGTTTTGTTGCCGTTTTTGCTGCCTTGTCCACGCTTAGTAAATCGGACTTAAATAATTAGTTTTATGAATATATATAAACACCCAGGTCTGTCATTCTGTGACTGTCATTGTGATTAACGCGGCACGGATTGGTTAAAGTGTGTCACGTGACCGCGAGCAAGCAGCCAACCAGAGGTGCGCCCCTCACAAACATGTACGCCCCCCAGGTGATGTTGCTCCGTAATAAGGCGCTGTGGGCAGCTGATCTGCCACCACGCTCACGGGCATACAGGGGTGGGGGCTGAGGGGGAGGGGGGGGACCCCCCCCCCCTCCATAAGACCCCTTCAGATAACACCTTGCAAATAATCCTCAGTTCTTTCAGTGATTAATAAGTCATAGCTCTTAGAAGTGAATGTAAATATCACAACTAAAGTTTAAATACATTTTCATTCATTCACATTAAAGTTGCATCGCGGGATCGTCACAAAAGTTACGTAGAGTGAAAGTTTTAAGTGAAAGCCGCGTAAAGCCGCTCTTATTTGACATATTGAAAGTCCTAAAGTACGGCAAAGCCGTTCGCGTTCTTTTTACAGTACTCCACAATAATACTTTTCAATAATACCTTTGACGGTAAAATACACGTGCACTACACACACATATCTATGACGTACGGACATATACACACGGTTCTATTTACATTAGTACTGTAGTTTTTTTGGTGCTTAAATCCACTGCTGGATGAAGGCCCACCGCACGTTGTGCGAGTGGATCGTTAGGATTTACTTGACCAGTCTGTTGGGGGCCGCCGCACGCTGTGGTTGTTGGGGGGTGCTGCAGGCTGTGGTTGTTGGGGGGTGCCGCAGGCTGTGGTTGTTGGGGGGTGCCGCAGGCTGTGGTTGTTGGGGGCCGCCGCACGCTGTGGTTGTTGGGGGGTGCTGCAGGCTGTGGTTGTTGGGGGGTGCCGCAGGCTGTGGTTGTTGGGGGGTGCTGCAGGCTGTGGTTGTTGGGGGGTGCCGCAGGCTGTGGTTGTTGGGGGGTGCCGCAGGCTGTGGTTGTTGGGGGGTGCTGCAGGCTGTGGTTGTTGGGGGGTGCTGCCAGCTGTGGTTGTTGGGGGGTGCTGCAGGCTGTGGTTGTTGGGGGGTGCCGCAGGCTGTGGTTGTTGGGGGGTGCTGCAGGCTGTGGTTGTTGGGGGGTGCTGCAGGCTGTGGTTGTTGGGGGGTGCCGCAGGCTGTGGTTGTTGGGGGGTGCTGCAGGCTGTGGTTGTTGGGGGGTGCTGCCAGCTGTGGTTGTTGGGGGGTGCTGCAGGCTGTGGTTGTTGGGGGGTGCCGCAGGCTGTGGTTGTTGGGGGGTGCTGCAGGCGGTGGTTGTTGGGGGGTGCTGCAGGCTGTGGTTGTTGGGGGGTGCTGCAGGCTGTGGTTGTTGGGGGGTGCCGCAGGCTGTGGTTGTTGGGGGGTGCCGCAGGCTGTGGTTGTTGGGGGGTGCCGCAGGCTGTGGTGCTGCAGGCTGTGGTTGTTGGGGGGTGCCGCAGGCTGTGGTTGTTGGGGGGTGCCGCAGGCTAATGGTTGTTGGGGGGCGCTGCAGGCTGTGGTTTATTTACATTTAGTGACTTGCATACCTTGTTCTCTATTTTACACTGCTATCGTTTTTTCTGTATTGCTTGAAACCTGCTGACTGACCCGCCCATACTGGACATCTCTGAAAAAGAGCTTTATAGCTCATCGGATTCCTCCAGTATAAATACAGATTCTGATTCTGGCGGGGGAGTGGGGGGTTCAAGTGTTCCGAGCACTCCACTTGAGCCGGGTTCACACCTGAGCTATCGGTTGTGCAACTCGGTTGCATGCAACTGAATCGCCTGTATCTGGGAATCTCTGCAACCGGTTACTTATATTGTTGCTTACAGCTGCCTGCTCTACTTTCAAGTGACGATCAGGCATGGTGACCAAGAACCCCCTTTAACAGACTGTTGGAGAGAGTGCTGGCACGGCACACGAGGGAAGTGGGTGGCCAACACCACAGCACTCGATATTCATTTAAGGTTGAGTCGACCGAGGGGAGGTCTAGGACCAGTTCAAATATTCGCCACTGTTATTGGTCATGAGCGGTAATCGAACTTGGGTCGCTGAGTTTGTAACGCGGTGCGCTAGCCACTTCATGACCCCCCACCCCACACACAGTCCAGCGGTCACGTCCAAGCGTCTCCCTGCTCAAACGAGTGAGGGGTGGCGCTCATATTCATTGCGGGCCTTGGGTCAGTCGTGGAAATTACATATTCCCAGGGCAGAGCCTATTCCATCCACAAGATGACCACTGCTGACGTAAACAATATTGTACCGCTCTTCTTGTATATGTAGCAATGACTGGCTGATCGGCAAAACCAAGCAGATTAAACTATCGTCCATTAGGGCTGAGATACAATCAGTCATTCATACTTAAATACACATGTATTTGTTTTATTTCCGTTCCAAATAATCCTATATTGTTATCCCCATGTTTCAAACATCACCCTTATTACGTCTCCCAACATCGAATTGCCAGTAATATTAATACTCCTACGCCAGTGAATATCTGGGGAGGTATTTTAAAACGCTTGTTTTCACGTGCTTTGAAAATGTTGATTTAAATATGTGAATTTATAGAAGAAAAATACATCTTGACTTTAAGTAGATTTCAGTTGACATACTTCCACGAAACATCATCTCAAGACCATCCTCATGTGCATCTTACCATCAAAGTATAATCGCGACACAATCGTAATTTGCATTATGAGATACACTGCATAAAACAGTGACGAGAGACCTCATCAGAGACTTGTCTGCTCATGCGATGTCCTCATGGCACTCTGACACTACCCCCGGACGTCTGTGTTATTCACTGTCCCTGTTCAAGTACAGGCCTGTACAAGAAATAAGTAATATAAAAATATATTTAAAAAACACGCTTTAAAGAAATGTATCGTACTAGCAATGGAAGAACTCCACGACTCCAGGAAGTGGCCCCGAAGCTTGCCACAACATAAGGGGACCGTGGTGATTTACAGCCAACGTCAGTTGAGCGTGGACAATTAGACCCAAGCCGAACCATAGCATATAAAAAATAATGTTTACAAATATTTATTTTTAATGATAGAATATAGTATTGTCATCAGTATGAGATGAGTATACCAAGTTTGCAGTCGATACCACATTGGGAAGTGGGTAAAAATTGAGTTATAAGATTTGAGGATACAACAACAGAGTTAGTAAACATTCGTGCGGAGGGAGCTGGTAGGAACGTTGGGTTGCTCGGTCAATGGCCAGGGTCAACGGCGGCACCACGTGGTGTATTCTGCAAATATGCCCGACTGTGAGGGCGGGCACAAGCCGGCGTGAGTAGGTTAAACGTTGAGTTTTATAAGGGCACCACGGGGTGACCAGCACCTCCCCACCCAGCCCCACCCCTCCCACCCCCCACTCAGCCCCACCCAGCCCCTCCCCACCCTCCCCACCCAGCCCCTCCAGAATGCCAATGTACGGCCATATAATGTACTAGCTGTACTACCCGGCTTCGCCCCGGACTTGGGATTCACCACACCCGGCCGCCTTTGTCTCCCCAGTGGCGATGTTCACACCACAACAGTTACTCGTTTGTGGCTGAGTCGACCTAGGGGAGGCCCAGGACCGGTTCAAATAATCGTCACCGGTGGTGGCCGTGAGCGGGAATCTAACTCGGATCGCCGGGTTCGTAGCGCAGCGCGCTAACCACTACACTAGAATGCGTTACGCTTCCACATGCGAGGGTCACGTGACAGATTTGACGTCACAGCTCACCGTGCAAAAATTATATGCATTATTAAGCTCCCCCCCCCCCAGAAAAAAGTGTATTTTTATAATTTTTGCATGGTGTACAGTTTGGAGAGTACCCACATGGCAAATTTCAAGTTCGTTGCATGTCGGGAAGTACGCTAAACATTTCACAACTTTGCCTTTTATATATATGGAGATAATTGAGATGCCCTATGATTCCAAATTGTGTTGCATGACAGTGACATCATCTGAAGCTGGTATGTTAGCCTCCTGTCTCATGACCGCAATAGAGTTTAACGACCTTGTCAGATACTATACTGTCAGTCTATCGTATGAAGACTCGGGCAGCAACTTATGAATACATTCATAATAAATAAATAAATAAATAAAATCCTCTGGGTTTTTTTTTTCAGGGAAAAAACCCGAAGTGAGCTACATCATTGCACAGGGCAGTAACTTGAAGAATAAAGTCACTAAGGTGACCAGAAGTTGCTCATACTCGTTGGTTCTTTCGGTAAAGTCACGTAGGTAAAAGAAAAAAATAAGTTAATCAAATCACGACGTTTCGAAGGCAACACAAGCTTCCGTCATCAGGTGTAACTAGCACAGCAAAATTACTGTAAAATGACCAGAAGTTATTCATGCTTGATGAAACACACAGTAGGGATGTTATGTTAAAAAAAAATACTTAGAAATGACCAGAAGTTATTCATGCTTGATGAAACACACAGTAGGGATGTTATGTAAAACAATACTTAGAAATGACCAGAAGTTATTCATGCTTGATGAAACACACAGTAGATTTGTTATGTAAAATAATTCCGCTGAATGTGCATGGTGCTAAATCTCATTATTATAGGTCCAAAGGGCAATGACCATGGAAAATGTGGTCATATGAGTGATGAGATAGTTC